ACCCCGGGAGGTCCCTACCGCCGTGTACTGCTCCACCACCAGCTCCGGCGTGGGGCCCAGGACCACGTAGAAGTCCAAGACGCCCCCCGTGGTGCGGTAGGTGAGGGCGGGGGTGGGCTGGAAGGTCACATCTGGAAAAAGATGGGGGTGAAAATTGGGCAAAAAACCACACAAATCGGGCAAAAACTGAAAAAAAAAGTGAAAGACGTGGAGAAAGACGTGGAATTTGGATGGTTTTTGGTTTTTTTTTAACCTGGGGTTGGGAGGGACCTTCTGGAGATCATCTCCTCCAACCTCTCCCCCCACCCAGAGCAGGTCCCACCCAAGGTGGGGGTTGAAGGTCTCCAGAGAAGGAGGCCCCACCCCCTCTGGTGGCCTCTTCCACCCTCATGGTCAAGAGGTTCCTCCTCACCTTGAGGTGGAACCTCCCGTGTCCCAGTTTGTCCCCGTTGCCCCTTGTCCCACCACTGGGCACCACTGGGAAGAGGCTGGTCCCATCTTCTTGACACCCCCACCTTTGAGGGACCCCCCTTGGCCTTCACTTCCAGGTCCCTCAGCCCAGAGAAGCTCCAGTCCCTCATCATCCTCACAGCTGGGCCCTCTCCAGTAGCTCCCAGTTCTTCTGGAACTGGGGGGCCCAGAACTGGTCCCAGTCTCCAGATGGGACCTCCCCAGGGCAGGATGAACCTCCCTCCACCTGCTGCTCACCCCAGGAGACCATCGGCCTTCTTGGCCACAAGGCCAACATCTCTGGCCCATGGGCAACCTGGTGCCCACCAGGACTCCCAGGTCCCTCTCCATGGAGCTGCTCTCCAGTAGGTCACCCCCCAACCTCTACTGGTCCATGGGGTTACTCCTACTGGCCACCTCAGGAGACCATCAACCTTCTTGGCCACTAGGGCTCTTTGCTGGCCCATGGGCAACTCATTGGCCACCAGGACTCCCAGGTCCTTTTCTTCAGAGCTGCTCTCCAGTAGGTCACCCCCAACCTCTACAGGTCACCCCCAACCTCTACAGGTCACCCCCAACCTCTCCTGCTCCATGAAGTTATTCCTACTGGCCACCTCAGGAGACCATCAGCCTTCCTGAAGGCCACAAGGCCAACATCTCTGGCCCATGGTCACCCTGTCATCCACCAGGACTTACAGATCCTTCTCCTCAGAGCTGCTCCCCAGCAGGTCACCCCCAACTTCTCTTGATCCATGGGGTGGTTCCTCCCCAGATGCAGGACCCTACACTTGGCCTTGGTGGAACTTCATGATCTTCTTCTCCCCCCAAACTCTCCAGGTCTCTCTGGATGGTGGCCCAACCTCCTCAAACCCCCCCTCTTCCACTTTGGTGTCACCAGCGAAGGTTCTGAAGGTCCCCTCCCCCCCCTCCTCCAGGTGGCTGCTGGAAGAGGAGCAGGTACTGACCCATGGCGTTGCTGTTGAGCAGGAGAACCCCGTGGGCGTTGCCGTCCTCCTCCAGCCCCATGTAGAAGGGTTGGAAACCGTAGGAATTCAGCTTGTACTGCAAAAAAAAACATCGATATTTTGGGTTAGAACCACACCATGAACCTTCACGGGTCGGAACCCACCACTTAATTACCCCTTATCGTTAACGCGCTTAATGAGCGATGAGACACACCACCCTACGGTGACGTGGATTGTCACCTCTTGAAGGTCCAAGGCTTAAACGTTGACCAGAAGCAACGATTTGAGCTCAAATTTTGGGGTCAATCGTTTTCTTCGTCCACCAGCTTGAGGCATCATGGAATTATGGGATGGGTTTGGGTGGGAAGGGACCTTAAAGACCATCCAGTTCCATCCAGGGCAACCCCTTCCCACCAGCCCAGGTTGCTCCAACCTGGCCACCAACCCCTCCAGGGATGGGGCGGCCAATCCCAAGATCAAGAGTCCTTCCCCATCTCTCTTTGAGACCTTTAGGGTCTGGAAGGGCCTCAAAGGTCTCCCTGGAACCTTCTCTTCTCCAGGATGAACCTTCTCCAGCTTCACGTTGAGCCACCACCCCCCTCAAGTCCTTCTCCTGGGGGCTGTTCTCCATCCCTTCCATGAGATCATGGAATGATGGGATGGGTTGGGTGGGAAGGGACCTTAAAGACCATCCAGGGCCGTCTCTTCCCACCAGACCAGGTTGCCCCAAGCTCCATCCAACCTTGGCCTTGAACCCCTCCAGGGATGGAGCAGCCACAGCTTCTCTGGGCAACCTGGGCCACCCTCAGAGTGAAGAACTTCTTCCCAACATCATGGAATCATGGAATTGGGTGGGAAGGGACCTTAAAGACCATCCTGGGGTGGGGACATCCAGGGCCACCTCCTCCCACCAGCCCGGGTTGCCCCACACCCCGTCCAACCTGGTCTTGAACCTCTCAAGGAACGGGGTCACCACCAGGTTGGAGGAACTTCTCCAGATGTTGCCCTCAACCTCTCAAGGAATGGGGTCTCCACCAGGTTGGAGGAACTTCTTCCTCAACCAAGTTCCTCCATGGCCAATCAAGGGTGGTTGGTTGGAAATTTAGGGGGGGGAAAAGAGAAAAATGGGGATTTTTGACCCAACTTACCCCAGGAGGTTGGTCGCGGGCGAACATGCCCCAGGTGTGCCAGCTCAGGTTGTGGTGGAACGTGGGGTGCTCCGACTCCCCAAATCCGTACAAATACTGGGAGGGCAAACGGGTGGAGATCTGGAGGAACATGTCGCTGAAGGTGAAAGTCGGGAGCTGCGAATCCCAGCTGAAAAAGAGGGAAAACGGGACAAAAACGGCACCAGTTTCAGCACTGGGAGCGACCGGGTGGGGTCGGGTTTTTAGACCCACTCGTTTTCCTCTAAAAATTTTTCAAACGGCACCAGTTTCAGCACTGGGAGCGACTGGGTGGGGTCAGGTTTTTAGACCCACTCTTTTTCCTCTAAAAATTTCTCTTTTTTTTTGGCCAAAGTTGGGGTAAAACTGGCAGGGGTAGGAAGAAAATGAAACAATTGATGAACATTCAAATGAGTGAAAATCAAAATTACTAAAAATTATAATTACTGACAACGAAAATTATTGAAAATAAAAAATACCGAGAATCAAAATTACTGAGAATTGACATTACTTAAAATCAAAATGACTGAAAATCAAAATGACTGAAAAATAACGTTATTGAAAATCAAAATTGCTGAGAACTAAAATTATCAAAAATCAAAATTATTGAAAATCAAAATTACTGAAAAATAAAATTGTTGAAAATCAAAATTCATGAAAATCGAAATTACTGAAAATCAACATGAGTGAGAATCAAAAATTATTGAAAATAAAAATTACTGAAAAAGAAAATTGTTGAAAATAAAATTATTGAAAATAAAAATTACTGAGAATTGAAATTACTGAGAATTGAAATTACTGAAACATTAAGTTTTTGGAAATCAAATTGCTGAAAGAGAAATTAGCCCTGAATGGAACGAAACAAAACGAAATTAAATAAACCGACTACATTAAATGATATATAAATATAAAAGAAAAATTGAATTAATGAACCAAAATGAAAAAAATTAAATTAAAAAGTTGAATTTCAGAAATGAAATGAAATGGAATTAAAATGAAATGAAATGAAATGAGGAGATGAAATTAAACTATTACATTAGATTATATATGAACAAAAAAGAAAAATTGAATCAACAAACCGAAATGAAAAATTGAAAAGTTGAATTTCAGAAATGAAATTAAATTTAGTGAAGTTAAAGGATTACATCGAATTCTATATGAATATAAAAGACAAAAATCGAATTAACAAACCGAAAAGAAAAAACCAAAACCAAATGATGAAGAATTGGAGGAAAAGCTGGAATTTTGGGTTGAGAGACGACGTTTCTTACATGACGGTCCCGGTGCTGCGGCGGCGGATCTGGACCCCGAAGGGCCGGGTCTGGACCCCGACCTCGTAGAGACGACCCTGGGCCGAGCCCTCGGGGGCCGGGGGGAGGGTCAGGGGCACCGGCACCTCGTACCTCGGTTTGGCGTAATCGTAAATCTGACGGAGAAAATTCATTAATTGGGGCGGAGGTGGAATCAGCGTAAATTAGCATAATTTTAAAAAAAAATTGGTAAAAGTAGAAGAAAACCACTTTTTTTGCGTGTTCCAGTTGAGTGACAGAGAGAGGAGAAGACCCTGAGTTTTCAAATTAAAGAGAATTTTTCAATTATTTCTTGCCAGAAACACAAAAAAATCGGAATTACTGAAAATTCACTGAAAAATCTGCCCAGAGAAGCGTTTTCCCGTCAAAAATCTGCTTATTTCTTTCCAAAATCCCATCCTGAATATTTGGGGTGGGAAAGGAAGGTTTTGTCATGGAGAAAACATAACAATTATTGAGAATCAAAATTATTGAAAATCAAAATTATTGAAAATCAAAATTGCTGAGAATTAAAATCGCTGAAAATCAAAATTACTGAGAATTAAAATTGCTGAAAAATAAAATTATTAAATATTAAAATTACTGAAAATTAAAATTACTGAAAACCAAAGTTACTGAAAAGAAAAATCACTGAGAAATAACATTACTGAAATATAGAATTAGTGAAAATCAAAATTACCGGGGAGTTAAAATTACCGAAAATTAAAATTACCAAAAATCATAAATAAGATATCTTGATTTAAGCAGGTAACATTACTGAAATATAGAATTAGTGAAAATTAAAATTCTTGAAAATCAAAATTAATGAAATTCAAAATTACCGGGGAGTTAAAATTACCGAAAATTAAAATTACCAAAAATCATAAATAAGATATATTGATTTAAGAAGACTTTTATGGACAGGAAAATTGATTTCACCTTTTTGATGGAATTTTTAACTAATTTAAGAGGTTTTTTTCTCCAAGTTTTCTATATTTTTTTAAGTTTTCTGTATCTTATAAGTTGATTTCACCTTTTTGATGGAATTTTTAACTAATTTAAGAGGTTTTTTTCTCCAAGTTTTCTATATTTTTTTAAGTTTTCTGTATCTTATAAGTTGATTTCACCTTTTCGATGGAATTTTTAACCAAAATTAAGAGGTTTTTCTCCAGTTTTTTTGTATTTTAGGGGTCGGGACGTGTTGATTTAAGACTGAGAGCAACAATTTGGTGTCAAAATGGGATTTTTGGCGGAGGGAGCGTTATCCCCCCAAATTGAGAAAATTTCTCCCAGCAAATTCTGAAATTTCGAGGGGGGGGGAAGGACCCCAAATTCTTACCTTAAACTGCAGCAAATGGTCGTTGTGATACTTCACCTCCAGGCGGAGGGTGCTGATGGGCGTCATGGACTTGGGGGTAGATTTGGGGGCGTTTCGGGTGTTTTGGAGGGTGAGGTTGGCGCTGACCCCCTGGGACGTGTAGGTGACGTCACCGACGGAGTAGGGGTTTTCGGAGCCGTCGTAGTAGCAGAAGGGGACGTGCGCCTCCGAGGTGTCCTCCTGCCACGCAAACATTTCAGCTTCGTTATCGCTATTAATCATTGTTTTTAATTAATATATTAAATTAATTTAAATTAAATTATTTTTTATTAATATATTATTTTTTAGAATTATTTTAAAATCATTTTTATCGTTTCTTTGCAGCAAGAATTTAAAATTGTTCGCAAAAAGACCTGGAAAAAAAAAATTGGGTTAAAAAAGTCGAGGAAAAAAACCAGAGGAAAAAAACTGGGAAAAATCAAATCTGGGAAAAAAAACCTGGGAAAAAGCTCTAGGAAAAAAAAAAAATGTGGAAAAAAACCCAAACCAACAGGGAAAAGATCAGGGAAAAAAGAGCTGAGAAAAAAATCCAATCTGGGAAAAAAACTGGGGGAAAAGATTCTTGAAAAGATCTGGAAAAAAATGGGGGGAAAAAAGAGAGAAAGAAGATCTGGGTAAAAATCTTTTTTTTTTTAACTGGGTAACAAGTCCTTGTGGAATTTTGGGAATTTTATCCAAAATTTCATGCTGTTTTGAAACCATAAAGAAGCGGCCGAACTCACTCGACCTCTAGACTGTTCTTAAATAGAATTCATTATTATTATTATTTAGCGGTGAAAATTCGAAATTTCCTTTTTTTTTTAAAGGAGATAACAAATCTATAAATTATACAGTGTATATATAAATATATTTATAAATTATTAAAAATTATAAAAAATAGATACATAAATAATAATAAACAAGACAAACCAATTTATTTTATAAATAAAAGAGGATTATTTGCTACCGGCTTTCCCAAAATACCAGCTTTTCCCTCGATTTTTCCCTTGATTTGAAGAGACC